GGTATGCTCCACATGAGAGTTCATTCATACCCAGTTCCCCATGGAAAGAGTCTGTCCCAGTGTCTGTTCTGTGTCTAGAAACATAGAGAAATGGCCGTGCAGCGTGCAGACATTATGGCAACCATGTGTGACAGCAGCAAGTATGCTGCATAGAGCATGTCGACATTCAATTAGGCTGTTGATCAATTGATGTGTCTTTTAAAACAGCGAGGCCACCTTTTAAAAGATATAAATAGACATTTCTGACAATGCCATTCTTTGAAACATCATTGCTCCCATTTGATTGGTGTTTTGTGTGTGTATTTTTTTTACAAATACATTTTACAAATAAAAATGTACAAAACTTTTGTTGCACAGTTATGTGTCAATCTGGCCTTGAATCAAAGCTTTGGATGGACATCCAGACTGTCTCCACCTTCTTCTCCAAAGGTTCCGACAGTCACAAAGGTGCACATACACACCGACTGATTAAGTACACAGAAAACCCGCTGCGCTTCTCGGCGTGTGCTGAAATACCACAAGAAGCAGTGTTGTAGGACCAGAGATTAGTCTTGAAGGTCTTGCTCTCGTCTTTTTTTGAATCGACGGCATTTTTACTCGTCTCAAGACACACAACTGCCGGGATGTTTGAGTTGCCTTTGCATTTGTTAACATTATTTCTGTGGTTGCTCAATAGAAAACAAACAAATATCTCCACTCTTACACTTCACCTCGGCAACACAGTTTTATTATTTTTCCAAGACATTTCTCATGGTACACTTGTACGTACACACACGTATATATGGCAAAGAAAGAGGTGAATGAAGAGGAGTATTCTTTTGTTTGCTGTGGGAATGTAGATGTTTCACATCTCTTCGAGAAGTTCCCGTGGTTTACATGTTTACATTAAGTGCGTCATGCAGTTGGGATTTCAGCACTGGTCTGGTGATGGTCTTGACCCGGTCTTGACTCGGCTCCACTCTTATGAATGCGACCTTGAAGGAATTCCTTTAAATTCGGCACAAATGTCCACTTGGAAAACTGATAAGTCACCGTTACCTCACAAAGCATGTTTTTATTTTTATTTTTTTCCATAATTCAATTAGACATATCCTAATTATGACAATTCCACACAAATGTCTAATAGGATAAAACGATGAAGTGATGCAGTTTTAGACAGACATGGATGCGACAGGACTGGTTGGCAGAGGCAAACAACGTGAGGCAGTATTTATGGTATTCATATTTCAATAACGGAACAACCGATCAGTCTTCTCACCCAAATGGGATAAAAAAAAAAATATGCTTTTTTCCCGTTTTCAAGCAGCACTTAGTTTTGTCGTCTTACATAACCGCGGAGACAGTTGTCTGGAACAATATGAAGCGTTGTGTCATTTTTGACCACTTGGGAGCTTCTTACAAGTCTAGTCACCGCCGCCGAGGGCCCGTAGATGATGTGTCATAAATTAGCTGATGAAATTAAAATCTGCCCGCGGCGTAATCCTCTGAACCCCACGCTGTCGGCTTCCCCTTGCCACAACACAGTTCTGAGTTCACACTTCAGTACATCAGACAGCCCCACAAGCTCGTTACATCACGCTGAAGTGAGCGTACGTGTTCACACACAAACATGCTCGTGTACTGTATTTGTGTGCTTGCAGTTCGACATCGGGCACCACGGGACGTGAGATAAAGGCTGGGGAAAGTGCAGGTTGTTGCATCATTAACTCCAGTTAGCAATTGGCTGCCTGACTTAGTTTCCTTTAATGTCCTCTGCTACAAGTGCGCTTTCCCACTGAATAGAGCAGCCCACTGTGCTGAGAAAACGAGAGCAGTGGAAATAAAAGAGGTTTGAGAGGTTGGCAGGTTTAAAACAATGAGCCCACTTGTGTTAATTCTCTTAACTTTAATCCCAGTTTTCCTGATGCAACAGTAAAATACTTAGCTGATTTTTAATGCGACTGTGTTTGCCTTTGCGTCGGCCCGTCATTCAGCGAGCTCGGAGCAATAAACATATCTGGGTTGTTGGCACACTTGTGGGAGATGTTTCAAATCCCCTGCCCTGGCCCATTCTGAACATCGCTGGTGTTTTTACAGTAAAGGGACTCTTTACTTTGTTTGCTTTGGAAAAGGGCAGCAATGGCACAGGGATTGCATTAGAGAGGAGGGCGTTCACACGCCCCGTCATTTCATCTGTCTCTCTCCATCGTTCTCTGCCGCCTCTCATGTTGCCCTCTCCTCCTCCTCGTCCTGAACAATGGGGTGCAGCTGCCCGCTCTCACAGCGTCCCACGTCATCTCGTTTCCGTCAGTAGCTCGTCTTCGTGGTGTTCTCTGCCACAACGTCATCGTGCCAGTTCCTGGTAACCTCTGCTCTCACTCGACAATGCTCCTTTCTCTCGTTGCGTTCGTGTTCCCTCGTCGACACTTTCTTCACTTTCCTGTCTCAACTTTCCTTTCTGCTCAGCAATCACATCCTCACCTCCACACGCCTCCTTTGTTCTTTGTCCTTTGTTCGCTTCTCTCTTGTCTTCTCATCTCTGCCTCTGTTTTTCCCGGGGATGACACTAGATCATGCTTATTGTTCTTATTGGTAGCTTCCACTCTTCAGATTAGTTTGCGTCTGTGCTCTGCGCAGCACAGCAGGTGTCCTTAGAAAATTGCTCTTTATCTCGGGGCTCTGTTGTCGGCTATCTAAAACATTCTTCCTTTTAAGCTTATGTCAACTCACAGCATCCTGTTTACACTCTGCTGTCTCTCTCTATTTGACCATCTCTTCATCTGTTGCATATTCATCTTGCATCATTATTTATTCATAATTATCCCTTTTCAATTTACACAATCTTCAAACACACCTGGAAGTGCTCATCCACACACATTGTTTTACCGTCTGTTTTAATATTTTACACACACAGCTGTTTGACCATTTAACATGAATTTACATCTGATATTTATTAGGATTTATGGGATTAATGTCAGATTAGATATTTAAGAGGATTATAGTGATAAATAAATACTTACAAAACCTTTTTATTTGGCTCACTCACATCAGTAGTTGGTGCTATGGTTCCACACAAACACACACAAACTGACAAGATAATAGAAGATACAGGCGCGCACACACACATCCAGCAAGTCCTTGTGCTGAATGTTATCATGCAGGTTAGATGACAGCTTTTCCATTAAACTCTCTCCAAGAGCCACTCTTCACTAGTTTGATTGCACTGTAATGACAAAGAACTAATTAGCATGACAAGTATTCCCTCCAGTGGTTGGCTAGACACCAGGAGTTGTCATTACAACATTCGTGAGTAAGAGTGCACAAGCTTGCCCAAATCTCAAGTGTGTGGACGCTAGATTACAAAGATTAAGTCACTTAGGGTGTTTGCTCTCAGACGGCTGGAGGAGGAGGGTCAAGCAGCGTCACATAATAGCAATAATTAATCCCGCTGGGAAATCAAAGCGAGAGAGCCAGAATCAAACTTCAGGCATGCAGGTGCACAAATACACACACGCATATATGACACAAATATCATGACGCGGAATACAGAAAGTACCGTTTACATTATTCAAAAATAAGATCATATAATTGACATTTTAATTGATATATATATATTATTGCACACCAAAGGTTTTGATCGTGTAATGGTGTTCATGGTTCGCTCCTCTAATTTATTTGCGGGCATTAAAACTTTCCCGTGGTGTTGTTTTCTTCTGCCCGTGCTTCAGTCCACAAAAACATTAATGACGGTGCGCTTTTCCACAGCGATGTCGGCTCTAGTGAGCCATCCAACTTCCCCTTGCTTTTTTTTTTTTTACTCTATTGTCTGGGATTATTTTCCCAGTGCTCTCGTCCATGTAAGATGAATGGCAGCAGCTGCATCTACTGAATCATTTTCTCCAGCGCGAGGTTTGTGGTTGATGCATCTGTCCAAGTAGGAAATGGTAACGTGTCTGAGTTGCTATTTCCTTCCCTTTTTGTCAAAAGTAACTCTAGAACAGTGTGAGGGCATTACTAGTGAATGCAGGTACTCTACGTCGTATTGCCAGTCCGAGCAGAAATGGATGGAATTAAGAATGATTTGTTGTTTTATCTTTTAAGCAGTCTAAATTATATTAATGCTATTATGTTTCTTATAAAAAAAAACTTTAAGTTAATTGTTGCTCAAATCAAGCACCCCTTTATGAACGAGGCTTTGTTTCTTTAAATAAATCAGATTTATATTGTGCATTGCCACAACCTCTGCATTATTGGAATGCAGTGTGAAGTTGTGCTCCAGACTCTATACTTTACTTCTTAACACCTTGTACATATCCTGCAGATAACACCAGCACATCACCCAGAGATGGTGTAAATGTGAGATCTTACTGGGACCAACAGTTGGTGCCAGAACAAAAAAAAACCTCCACTTGACAGCAGACCAGAGTTTGCAAAAAAAAACAAAACCTGAGTGACAGCCTGAGGCAAAGAGTCAGCCCCAGATTGAATAGAGAATAACTCTACAGCTGCCATGCAAAGTGCTAGGTTTGAGAGAAGCTGTGCATAGTGTGCAGACTGTGAGGCATGGTAGGGAGAGCACACATAAGCTTTTATCACCCACAAAAATCAAACCTGCACCGCCGACAGAACAGTCATGTAAAAAGCCCACGCTGACCCCGCCAAAAACCAACTTGAGCAAGCTTGAGCAAATCTGCAACAAAAGCATGAGAGAGGAAAAGAGATCCCCCAAATCCAGATCTGCTACAACAGCGCAGGCGCATCCAACCTTTAATTGCTGCGGAAATCTTCAACCTCCATGTATTTACTCAGGAGAGGAGGAGGAGGAGACTGTCAAAGACAATGTGCAGCATTTTTCTTTCAGGACACGATGTTGCTTGAAACGTGTCTTTATTTCGACTCTCGACAAAACGTCTTAATTTATTTGATTTGGAATTCAACCACCAAAAAATGTGACTTGACTGCACTTTGTCCGTCAGCATCCTAATTGTAACTTCTCCATTTTTTTCTTTGTCCCACTACAGTTGGCCCTGGAGGACCCGGTGCACAGCGTGTCCCTCCAGCAGTTTGTGTACGAGAAGCTGAAGGCGCAGCAGGCCATGATGGGGGACCAGGGCTTCGGGGCCCTGATGGAGACCGTGGACACGGAGCTTGTCAGGCAGCTCCAGGAGTTCCTCAAAGGCCTCTGAATCACATCTATATTCCTTCTCTATTTTACACAAACATCTTTGCCCAATGCTACCCCCCCCCCCCCTTATTTTTCAAAATGTACCAGAAAGGCTAACAATCTGCCCGGCGTGTGGACTCCTGATCCAACCCTTCCCGACCTCTACCCAGGCTTTGCCTTATCTAAATTCAGAGCCAGCCTTCTCCAACGTCCTCGGCTAACACCCTGCGTCCCTTTCTCTATTCTCTGGGTTCCTTCACATCCTTGTTTTTTAATCAAGGCGGGGTCTCTGTGGGTACTTAAACATGTCAAAGTACCTTCGCCCACACTAAAACATGACCACACCAGAGCTTCCACTCAGTTGTTCTATAGTTTCCTGTCTTTCTGTGCTTCGGAACGGGTAGAATATACACGGTGGCTGGTACAAAGGTTTGGAGGTTTGAGGCGTAGCTGGGAAACAATCCCCTGCAGGTTGCCAGAGCAGGATCCTCGGACTATTTTCTACGGAGAAACGTACAGACTGGAGCAGAAATGTGGATGAACCGAAACCTAAACAACCTAAAGCAGTGTTTACAGAATCTATTCTTAAAAAGAGAGAGAAAAAAGAAATGTAATTTTGTATGTATGTAAAGTATGGAAGATATTCTGCATGATGATATTTTACCTTTTAGTTTGTTTTTACTTTGTGTTCATTTCTCTTTCATTTAAAGAAGATCATTTGGTCATAGCCAGAGGTCAAGCTGAAGTAACTACTGAGAGAACTTTTTCTTTCTTTCTGAGGGAATTTAGTTTTGACTGTAAAATGGGTGATTCTTTTTTAAAATGGTTGATTTGTGAGAGTGCTGAACCACATTTATATGTGTATATATACATACTGCTGCTAACTGATGGTGTGTCAGAGCACTTTAATAACCAAAATCTGTTTCACCGTGTTTTCATGCTTCTCTCAGTGGCACATCTTCTCACACGACTGTACTTCAACACAGCGCTAGAAAGCCTCGGAGCTGCGCGGCACCATTGTTCAAATTAGAGCCTGATCTTGAACTGTTGCCATATTTCATGTCATTGTATAAAATACTGACCCAACTGCAAACGTGACATGCCATTAGGATGTATCTTTAAAGACGTCATTTGAAACGATCTCATGAATCGTGACCTCAGTGACTGTCAAAGAAGTCCTATCGTGAGCCACTGTGACTTAATGAGTCAACATTTTTGTCCTTCTGATTTGACCAATCGTTGACATTTTAGTGGTAGAGAGGAGGCTTGGCTAAATTTGATTTGACATAAGAACCAGTTTTTTTCCCAGTAGGTTGTAGTGGCAGGTGTACCTGTTTCACGCAAAATCTGAAATTGGGTTTAAAAAGTAATATATCTATTGTTAGAATTTAAAACTCCTTAAAGAGAATAAAAAGTTTGGGTCACCCGGCCGTTATAGTTTATTCTTGTGGGATTCATGGATTCATATAGTTGTATTGGCTCTCATCAGGCTGGTCGGCCTCCCTGAGGGAGATGATCCTGACGCTCCTTTGACACTGATAGAGTCGAGTAGCAGTCAGAATTACGGCCTTACGCTTTCAGCCTGACCTTAATCCTTGTAACTCAAAGAGCTTTCTTACTATTATGTTCATTTCTTGACTAGTTCAACCGTAGATGATTTCTGTGCTCGGTTTTTCTTTTCATTTTTGTTAAAGACGGCAATTATGAAGTTGAGAGATGTTTCTGAGCCATCAAGTTGGTTATGCTTTGATGAGAAATGACACTTGTTGCTTTTTCCAAAGCATTTAATAAAATGCAGTAATCAGCCAACATATTATACTGTGTATTACTTATTTAATGATGCATGCAACTAAAAAAAACAACCCTAATCCTTAAAAGTGTTTCAAAGAGTATATTCTCCGCTGTACTCTTCTTTGGGAGTGTTTATTTCGAGCAAATGTAATGGCGCTACCACAATAACTGACTTGAAGAGAGACTATTCCCCTCATTACCGCACCATGGAGAACGAAACTTTGACAGGAGGAGCGCCTCTGAAAGAGCAATATCATGGCACACACACAGATATACTGACGGGTGTGCATGCAGTACACTCGAGTGGGAGTGACCTCAGGAAAAAGGGAAAAAAAGTTGCTTCGATAATACGGAGTAGCTAGGAAAATGCCTGTGCACACAAAGGAAGGGAAATATATTGATTTAAGAATGGAGAGGTCTGGAGTCTGCTGCCGTGCAACACCAGCATCGCCAACATGCACACAATGACTATTAACACTGGCAGGTGTAATGTACAGCCGGCACTGATGGGAGTGGTGTTACTTGTGCACATATTTGGTCAAAAACCAAAGTAACATTCTGACTTCCTGCCAGATGAAAAGTTAACAATTACAGCTCCTCCTCTGGGGAACATAAACGTGCACACCAAACAAGTAAAAAAGTGTCAAACTAGTGGTGGCCCTCGAGGAAAAGGTGAGTAATCAGGATTTGTGTGGAGCATGAATGTCGGTGCAAAATTACATTGGCAATCCATTCAATACATTCATTCAATAGTTGAGATATTTCAGTCTGGAGAAAAGTTATGGAACAGACAACCACCATCGTCATCCCTAAAGCCACGGCGCTAGTGTACGTAGACACTGATCCTAACTGAAAATATTACTTTGTGAAAGTTTTTACATTTGTTTTACGCTACTTTCAACACTCGATCCACTTCGAGCATCGTGCTGCTTTCCTATTGTGGACCATCACAGTTTATTTCCTTCAAAGATATATTGCCCACTTGTTCAGGGACTTTCTCTTACTAATAACACAAGCAACTATTGGGTATTACACAGTCGAGATTAATGTATTGTTCAACAAAAAACCGATGACCCTTTATTTTTACCTCTGACAGAATAAAAGCAGAATATTGCTTTCTCCGTGCATTGTATTGCTCCTAGGGAATTATCTAAATGCTGCAGCAATCAGCAACTAATGCAGTAATGAACAAGTGGGAGACTTTTTAAAATAGAAATAGTTGCATAGTAGGCCTATGTAGCTTTTGTAGCGGCAGTGCTGCTCGGTTCCTGCTGACTCCACAAAGCAAATACATCTGCTTATCCGCAGACTGACGACCCAAAGTTTGGCTACAGGCCGCTGAAGGACAAGGAAACAGGCGGCAGTGGACAGCATCGACCCATTAGTCTTAAGTGCTCGAGAATAAATGTAGTTCAGGCAGCTGGTCACTTGAGTGTTTTATAGAGTGCAGAGAAACGATTAAGGATTCTTCACCTCCCGTCCTGCCTTTTCTTCCTCCCCAACACTATTAGTCCAAGGGACTCGGCCACTCGTCTGTCACCCTCACTCCTATTGCTCGTCCGACCAGCGTAGTCCTTTAGAGACAGACGGGTTAGAGCCACAGGTGGACTATTGACCGTGCTCTGTGTTAGTTATCCTGTGGAATGCGTGACAGAGGAGAGCAGGAGGATTACCTCTAATCTATAACTCGCATTCTTCGTGGGTTTAGTTCTCCACTTCAAAGCCATCATTTCACAGCAGCATGTTCCTCATTCCGAAACGTCGCGTAATTGTCAACTCTTATTTATGCGCCCGCATTTACAGACATCCGGCGATGCATTTCCCGGGATGGTGCAAGTGTTTCGAACATTTTCGGCATGTGGGAAGTAAAATATCAATTACCCCCCCCCCCCCCCCCCCCCCCCCCCAAAAAAAAAAAGAAAAGCTGTAAATGGAGCTCTTTGCAGTTACACTTATTATTTTTCCCTTAAATGTCCAGTCACCCTCAATGTGAGGTTGCTCTCCAAAAAGAGGGCTGCACGGGGTAGGAGTAAAAAACAAAGAAGTGTACACTTATTTTGGCATTCAATTCATATCCTAATTAATGCTAACGACACAACAGTCTGTAATTAATAACTAGACATTGAAGACTATTTAGGCAAGCCTTTAAAGGAAGAGTTTGACCGTTTGGGACATATACACAGATTCACTTTCCTGCCAGAAGTTCGATGAGGAGATTGATGCCACTCTCATGTCTGTGCAATAAATACAAGGCTACAGCCGGTTAGCTTAGCTTAGCATAAACACTGCACGCAGGGGGAAACTGCTGGCCTGGCTGTGTCCCAGAGGTGTAGTTCTTACACCTAACTGTAGCACGGATTAAACAGTTGAGATATACCGTGTTTACTGGTGAGCTGTAGGAGGATTTTGTTACCTGTAGACGGAGTCAGGCGAGCTGTTTCCAGTCTTTGTGCTAAGATAACTGATATACAATTATCAGTGATATGCTTATAATATCAATCATGACTCCTAAATCTTGCCGTTCCCAAACTGTTGAACTATTCATTTCTTTAATACTTTTCGTTGTCTGAAACATGAGGTCCCTATCCATTACACCACTATTCAAACTTCTTACAGGTTGTGAAGGAAACTTTTCAAGTAATGAGTTCTTGATTCTTTTCTCTCCAAATGAATATTTTGCATTTGATGAATATGCTGTACAAAGATACAGTAGATACAATACATCAATGCAACAATCCTGTAGCGTCAACACAGTTGATTTGTACCCAAATATCAGTGATGTCTCCAAAGACTGAACTCCAATCCATAGTGTGCCATTGGTGGTGTTTGGGGATCTCTGCGCTATTTATTAGAAAACCTTTAAATCCTGTTTGTCGCGTTGAACAAATGCAGACTGTTCACAGATATATGTTGTCGTCTTTCCGCCTGACATCCATGGCAACATCTGTCTCCTCAACCGCTGGCCAATGAGTTGCATCAGCAAGTTCCCCCACATTGATCCCCAACAGCACAACATCAGACACCTCACAAAGTCTATTTTCATTGAGCCCCTCGAGGCTTAAACAGGCCACTCTCGTTCGATCCTGACTTAAAACATAATGACAGGTAAAATGCCTCACAGATCAAACCTGTGTAAAAGCTATATGCTTGAAGTATACTTTGACTCCCTCCTTCCCTGTGCTTTGACAGTCACCCGTCACTCTGATTGTGTGAGGGCTTTTGAACGCCGCTATAGCACGAACGCATCGGTGACGGTGTGTGGGTGAGTGCCCGCGTGTCTCCCCGTGTATTGATTCTGATTAGAAGTGGCGGCTCTTGTCTGCCTGCTGCAGGCTCCGCGAGGTTCTGAGCATGCGCGGCCATTACTGTACGTGGCCATGCAGCGTGTCTTCAGACGTCGCAGCTATTCAAAGCTCGATGTGTGCAACATCTTGCCCGTGTCCGCCACAAAGGAGTTCTGCGTGGACGTGAGAAGTCCACTGATTAAAGTGTCACACTTTGGTCCACTGATTAATGAGTTTCATAGAGCAGGTGAGAGTTGAATGGAGGCAACTAACAATGGTTTTAAAACTCCTTAACCCACTGTCACTCTATTCACAGAGCACTGACATGAGACAGATGCCCGTGTGATGCGGTGGGACATGAAAACGTGTGTGTGTGTGTGTGTGTGTGTGTTTAATGTTGACGGACAAAGCCAGCAATTACTTAAAGTTAATAAAAGGGTTAGAATGAAGTTGTCACATCAACATTTAACAAGAATATTGGGGAAAATATGCAACTTTCGATGAACAGAAAAACTATTTTGATAAATGATTAATCATTTACCTTCACAAGCAAATATGCTTAGCATTCATAGTTCTATGATAATATAATTGGGTTTTGGAGTGTTGGTCGGAGTTTAATAACATCACCTCGAGCTTTAAGAAACTTTAAAAGGTATGTACACTATTTTCTGACATCTTATAGAAGAAAAGTTGAATTGACTGATTGAGAAAATATTTGGCAGAATAATCTGCACTAAAAATAATCACAGTGCTACCCTACTTTTATGCACCCGAGGTTGTAAAATGTAAGTCCTCGGGGGCTCTTTGGAAAGTATTTGACACTTATTCAAGTGCCTAACAGCAGTAAATGCTTTCATTTATTACCATCATTGCAAGTGAAGAAATGCTGTCACACAACTTGTTCTTTGCACCAGGCACGTCCATCAGCAGCATCGCTGCGTAAGCGAATTCCAATGAATATTTGATGAAAAATAAAATCACTGGGTGATGAGAGAGTAGCCTACAACGAAAATACAATGTCATATTCTGTAGAAGAACAGACACGGGAACACAGAATATGGAGCCGCCCTCTGAATCTACTTCTCATCTCAGAATATTACAGTATTTATTATGCTGCAGGCTGAGCAGAGTGCAGCTGATACTAGTCAGACAGGTGGGCACAAGGTGTTCCACTTGTAATAATGTAGTCTGTTTCTGTCTCGTCTCCCGCCTGCTCATAAAGTTTACACTAGTAGCCCAAACACATTACTGCCGTATTTTCTCCCTTTTATCACCACAGTGTTATGTCTCACGAATATGACTCAGCACTTCTTGAGGCCTTGACGCAGGCTTCACATCAACCCTCAGTTGAGTTCCAACTAAAATAAGTCTGTAACATTGAATATCAACAACCGTCAAATATCTACAGTAACGTTGACAAGCTCAGTCCGATTTTTAGACGTGTGATGTTATTTCATATTTTTTCTATCTAAATCAGGATATTGTGCATTTTAGACTGAACTAAACCGAAAGTTTACATGAACACACAAGGGATATGATATATAAAATAGCACAAAAAAAGCATCAATGACTAACAATAAAATACGAAATAAAAGTTCTATATACAGGTCAAGTGCTCTGTAAGTTGTAAACTATACAAAAAAAATACTGAAGCGATATACATACATGGATGGATGACTATGTAAAGTATGTACTCGTAAAGGTGATACTGTAGCATGTTGGCATACAGTGTTCTGTAGCACCTGCCAGAGGGCAGAAGCTGTGAAGAAACAGGTTGTGTCTAGAGCAGGGGTGTCAAACTCATTTTCACTCCGGGCCACATCAGCATCATGGTTTCCCTCAAAGGGCCGGTTGTAACTGTAAGACTGTATAACTATAACTACTCCCTAACATATTGTTAAATAACTCTCTCTGCATTTGATTATTGTTTATTCAAGTGTAAAAATACTGTATATGCAGTTATATAAATGTAAAATGATATTTAAGCACATTTCTGTTATTATAAGATAAATCATTTTAATTTAGGGTTAAGAAACCCACATTACTCTATCAAAGATCAAACTTTTAAAGAAAATAACAAAGACAAATATCAAACACAAGTTATTACATTACATTTGTTCAAAGCTATTTTTGTCACCTCTCTGCATCACTAATGTCCCCGTCGTCGTCCCGTGCATGGCAGCTACATCCAAGAGCTCCTCACTGAGATCAGGTCTTATAAACATGTTGTCTGTGCTTTCATCAACAGCTAATGAAGAAGACGAGTACCTGCTCGTCTCTTAGCTAGCTGTGTTGTTAGATTGCTGCTAGTTCCTGAACTCGGTCTGCGATTTTGTTTCTTCACAAACTGACATTTGTAAAAGTCTGTATCTGGTCGGAGCTCACCTGCTCACATACCTTTAGCGTGCACTGGGCTGTAGCTTTTGTAAATGTATTCTGCTGTGATTGCAGTCTGCCTTTTAATTCTTGGACAATTTGATGTTTTTCTTGGAGGCTAAATTTTGCTCCGTGTTTGGTGTCAAAATGCCGACGTGAATAGTATTCCTTCTTCACCACATGCATCATAACACAGAAGACAGACCCGTTTTTCTCCTTCAAGCACAAACATGTATTCGCTTTCCCATCTTAAATTACATTTTCTTCCCTTTGCATCAATTTTTCTCT